ATATTATACTTATATTATACACTATGTCATTTACTAAACAAATTCTAAAGGTTGTGTCACATTATCACGGTTGAGACAACTTGTGCTAACTAACCTATGACAATTTTGTTATGACTAAATTAATATATGTAGGTTGAACATCCAATCTAATCATTAGCATCACAGTTCGTATATGTCCAAAAGAGGCTTCCAGTAAATGAAAAAATAAAATCTAATAAATGTTTTAAATCATTATGATAAAAATCAAATCTGTTTTTCAATCGTTATTTTAAAATATAAATTTTAAGAATGTATTTAGATTTTATTTAAGAGGTCTTTGATGTCTTTTGTTCTGTTCTTATCATAACAGTTTGTTGAAAGGTTTTTTTTTTTTTTGTGGGAATATGGTGTTTAAAACATGTTTCTTCGCTAAACGCAACATTTATTGACAAATGAATAAAAGGAGAAAAAATATTCTAAAAGTTAATGTTTCTTTACATATTTTGTAGTATTTTTATGGGTTTGCAGTGGGGGGGTCCCTGGCCCCAAAGCTAATGCTGTTTGTGGGGCCATGGCATGAAAATGTTCAGGAATCCCTGGTTTAAAACATTATAATGTGACAGGGCCTTGACTTAAAATGTAAAAGAACTGCGTGAAGAACCAAGTCAGCCTCCGTGTAGAAACAGTGAGAAACCAGCAGCAGCCAGGTGTTTCTAATCAAATGCGCTGATTTAAATCTGCAGCTTTTGCAGTTGACTGCTCTGCAGAGATTCTTAACCTATGGGCCGCGGCCCAACTGTGGGCCCTGAGCGCCACCTTGAGGGCCTCAAAAAAACAACAGTTTTTAACTTTGGGCTGCAGAGGGCCGTTGGACCACATTGATTTTGAATAAGGTGCAATACACTTTCTCACCACGAGTAGCAGTAGTACACTACTCAGTTGTTTAACAACTTTTTTAATATGTAGAAGAAGAAACTTAGAACCCTGACGAGAATGAAAACTTATTTTAAATGAAAAGTAGAAGGAAAAAATGAAAGTAACTCATCAAAAAACACCAAAGTTTGTCACTAATATGAAGTGCAGCTTCTGTTTTTACCATGCAATATTTTAAAAGTTCAAAACATTATCAAATACAGTTACAGATACAACTATATTAATATAGCTTTTAATTTGCACTTTAAATTAATTTTTGTAGTTTTTTAAAAACATTTTTAATGTATGTTAAAGAAATTTTAAACTTATCAAAAAGCTGTTGTTACTGTTAATGTTTGTCACTAACATGAAGAGCAGCTTCTGGT